TCTGTACTTCTCTCAACACCTGTTTTGGGGATGGGCTGGGTAGAGGTGAGCTAAGGTTTTTTCCCCCAAATTCTGAGTTGCGTCTGAGTCAGCATTGTGTCTGTGAGTTGAATAACCGGGTGGAAAGAGGATAGCTCTTTCCTCAGTAGCAGATTGACTCTGTAGGCTGACAGCCCCTTTCTTCCAAGGCTGTTCAGCAAACACTGACCACCTGCTCCCTGCCAGGTGCTGAGCTGACTGCTGTTGGAGTGGGGTGGGTGGTGTGCTGAGAAGGCAGAACTTTACACGTGTGCCTGCAGATATGGCACAAATGTATGTGAGGCTTCAAAAAGCCTGTTTAAGGGAGAATTATTTATCCTTATATGACAGAGACCCCGAAGGTACTCCATTACCTCGCTGACCATTTTTCCCCTGGGAATTCTAGTTTCAACTGTGCTCAATTTCCCTTTTCTGGTTAGATAGTTGCCTTGAAAGTAGCAAAGAAAGTCAAATGGGAATTGACTAGTTTTCCTTCATGTCATTAAAAAACACTTCTGTTTGAAATAATTTCAAATTTACAGAAGTTATAAAATTATATAAGGAACACTGTATTCCCTTTATCCAGATTCTCCTGTTGTTGACATATACCTCATTTATTTGATCATTTGCACATTCCTCCCCCTACTTCTCCCACTCTAACTCTCCCTCCCTCTCTACACACACACACACACACACACACACACACACACACACTTATATATTTATACACTTGTATAAAAAATAAAATTTTTCTCAATCGGTAAGAATAGAGATATTCTTACATGTACTCATACATAACAAAACAGTTGTCAACTTCAGTCAGTTTAAAATGGATTTAAACCTCTCATTAAGCTATTGTTTGTGTCCCAGTTTTGTCACGAGACCCAGTCATGTCCTTCATAGTGTCTTTCTTTTTCTTCTCTCTGAACAGGTACCCACCCTAAGCAGCAGACCTGATCGCCTTTGTTTTTACTCCGCATATAAGCTTACAAAGTTCCTAGTTGTCTTGAATGTTTTTCAGTGTTCATCTTGTTCTGGCCTTTGCTTTTCTGGAAACTGCTATCCCAGCCCATATCCGTGCCCCTCTTCTTACATTCTTCATTTGTTCCTGGGTGCTGTGTCTCCCCTCTCCTTCACCCCGTCCTCCTCCCACCAGTATTTTCAGAGATCAGGCTCTCTGAGAAATGTCCCGTAGCCACCTGGGTTGGTTTTTCTTCTTGGATGTTAGGTACCATTGTGCTGTAAGAGCTATAATTTTTAGGTCAAGGAAAATTACGACAGGTTTTTGGGGTTTGGTATGGGGAACTGATTAGAAGCTGGAAGTAGCAAGCCTCTGACTTCTCTGGATTAAGGCTTCTCAAACCTTAATGTGCACACTGATCTCCAGGGGGTCCTGTTAAAATCAAGAGTCTGATTCAGAAGGTCTGGAGCGGGGCCCAGGACGCATTTTTAATGAGTTCCTCCAGTGGCAAGGCTCTAGAGAAGTTATAAGCCCTGGATGAATTAGATCCCAAGGCACTGACCTCTGGTAGGTGAGATAGCTTGTCAATAGCTGATGGTCTTAAAGGAATTGAACAAAAGAGAGGTGCCAAGAATATGAAGACAAGAAGATATAATAAAGTCCTGAGTATTAAAAAAAAAAATAGTGAACAGTGGTGTATCACAGAAGGTAAAGCTTGGAATCGGGAGGAGTTGGGTCCTGCTCTGCCACCCACTAGCTGTCACTCACACAAACCCTTGCCCCGGGGGCCTTGATTTCCTTTTGTTAAGATGGGGTAGTCACACCTGCTTCTTAGGATTCAGTGAAGATCGTTTACCTGAAAAGCTGACAGTGTCTGGCACATGCTAGGTGCGCAGTGAATGGAAGTTGCTGTTCATGCCTGGTGGGGGCCGGGCTGAGCCAGTCTGGATGGTAGAGCACATGACTGACCGTGAACTGTGAGTGCCTACGAAGTGCGGGTCACTGTGGCCAAAGTGGTTGTCAGGCATATTATCAGGTGAGAGGAGTGCGACAGGCATGATTCCTGGCTCTGATCCAGGAATTTGACAAGGCCTCAAGATATCTTTGTGGGCATGGTTAGAAATATAAATTCAGGTTAGTTAAGGTAGATGGATTTGTGGCTGTAGAACAGATACACCAGCACAGTGTGAGTGAGAAAAGTGGTCTCCAGTGGCACCATGTTGCTTTTTGACCCTTTCAGATAAACTTTTTTTATATCTTGGGTGAAGACATAGTTTGATAGCCCCTATTTAACATCTTTGACATCCCCAGACACAAGCCCTGGGGCCAGCTGTCTCCTCTAGCGCATTTCTCCCCAGGCAGCTTTATGCTGTGTCTTCTTGGAGTTCCCGACAGTGCACACTTTTCCGGGATTGACACGCAGCCCTGTACGTCATGCGTCGCTGTGAACGCGTCCTCGGCCTGCCACGCCTCACCTGCCACTTCCCTCGCGTTCATTCCTTGTGTCCATCCTTCCATTTCCCAGTCCTTCGCCTTCTCTGAGGCTCTCAGTATCTGTTCTTGTTGGTTTGTTGTGATCACCGTATGGACGGCCTACCCAGTACCGTAGACGTCACGCATCCCACCCCAGCCACCTGTGGTCGCACAGCCTGCCCTGCCCTCCTCACCGCTTGGCCTTCACTGTCCCCCGCCTCTTGTTTGTCTTGACTGCCCCTTCATTCCACTGGTAGCTGTTGGCCCGCTCCAGCTGCCGGTGTCTTTCCCCTGGGATGCACGACCCATCCTGTTGCTGTTGCGTCAGCTCTGTTGCCCCATTTCCTCTTCACACCCTCTTTGGGAAACATCACAGCCCTGTGTGGGTACAGCTTCTGTCCGGGCTCTTGAAACTCAGGAGGCATCTCTGAGCCTAAGTCGGCACTCAGCCTCTCAGCTGGGCTCGGGCCAGCCTCCGCCGCCGACCCCACAGCAGCTCTCGAGTGTCTCCCAGTTATCTTCAGGGTAAACTCTAAATGCCTTAGGTGGTTTACAAAGCCCTTTATGATTTGACTGCTGCCTCGTTATTTGCTTCCTAAACTTGTTTTTGGAAAATGTGGAGAGAGAAGAGGCCTTGCAGAGCCACGCTGCCATCTAAGGCTGGTGTGTCTGATGTAGTGGTTTTCAAGGTGCTTTGTGCAGGTTCTGCAGCGCCAGGGAGAAGGCTCACATGAGCCTTCACACCTGCCTTTTCAGGGCGAGCTCCAGGAGCTTTGATTTTGGGTTTCATTGAGGCAGGAGTTAGTCAAGAGCATTTGATCGGTTTGACAGGGATTGTTTCTGATGGGTGTCGGAATCCAAGCACTGAGAGATGCGTAGTTTCAGTGTGCAGGTGAGTGCTTGTGCTGGGGAAACTGCTTTCAAAGTCCTACTTAAAGGACATTTCCTTAAAAAGCAAAGGAATAAACTAAGTAATAAGCTCCTTACCGGATATGGTGCAGCCCTCTCCAGCCCCTGGTGCACACATGTACTGGACTGACTGGAGTCAGAAAGATGGATCACACCAAGTGCGGGCCGGGCACGAGGGTGCAGGCTTGTCAGCACTGGCAGGGATGCAGAACGGAATCATCCCCACTTAGGGAGATGTGACAGCTTCTTTAAAAATTGAGGCTATTTTTGCCACAGTAAAATAAACAAACATATCCACAATATCACCCACACTGAAAACAGAAGTTAAGGGTGTGCCTGCCTTGTCTTACTGAAAGGGAGGCCCTCTGTCTGAAGGAGAGCAGGCGGTCTGACCTTGTGCACAGGCTCTGTCCTGAATGGCGTGTGTGTCGGAGCCCCGAAAGCTTCCCCTTTGGTTTCACGCCTGTAGAGCGATACTCCTTGGGACACACCGCATCCCCACCAGGCACCCATACGGACTTTCACGCGGTTACTAGGGAGGTAGAGCCCGTCCCAGCCTCCCTTTACTGGGTGCTATCACCTCACAGCTGCTTTGAGGTGGATGTTTTCCCCTTCCTTCAGATGAAAAAAAAAATCAGATGAAACGCTCCTCTGACCTTGATGCCGTGTGGGTCCGTGGCAAAGCCGTCTTACTCCTCGGCCTCCTGCCTCGCTGTGGAGCCCTTAGGCCCCCAAGTCCAAGTGTGGAAAATGCTTCTCTCTTCTGCTGTCCACTTTACCTCTCTTCTCTTTTCTGACCTCTGCTTCCCTTGTTTTAGATGTTTGATATTTAAATATTTGTTGTTTGGTGGGTATTATTCTACTGAGAACTTCCCAAATGCTATCTCAATCACTGAACCCTGACAGTTCACAAAACAGTTAGTGTTCCCCCCAGACTGCCTGAGGAAATGGAGACCCACTGCCCGGAGCACACAGCCACCAAGAGGGGTCGGACCCAGGGTTTTCCAGGTTTGTCTTGAGCCGCAGCAGGCCTAACCACATCATTCTGCTTCCGTGCGAAGTGTCTGAAGTTCGGGGCTATACAGAAGAAGATCTGCAGATGCTGGAACTTTGCATAAAGAAACTTCTCAGATGAGGCGGCATGCCTGTGCTGTACCAGACTTTTGGGCAGTGCGGCATGAAATACATAGTGTCAGAAAAGTGGGAGTTCTTCTTATACACGTTGGCAAGCAGGAAGTGTGTGATTTGGGCTTCCTAGTTGTGTGGAAGGTGTCTCCTGAGGCAACATGGGCCATGTGTATCAGACATTAACAGCAGCTGTGCCTGGGGTCCTGGGCATGGAGCTTCCCACTTAAGGCACCGACCCTTACACCTGGGTAGCCGAGGGCAGAAATTATGCTGGTGCCCTTACGGCAGGAAAGGTGTTCTTCAGCATCCTCTGACTGCCGCTAACAGCCCTGGGGGGCCAGTGTGCACCCCAGGTGTGTGCCTGCTCGTTACACCTTGGCTGCGGTGCTCTCGCACTCTTGGTGGTCTTGCCTTCAGGCATCTTGGTGGGTGGCTATAGGAGGAAAGGGAGGGGCTCTCAGCTGGAAAGAAAACTAAGAGGACATGAGCCTTCCTGTCTTTTTCTTCCTAGTACTGAACATGCTCCACAACCCACTGGGCAGTGTCCTGGGGAAGCCCCCCTTGAGCTTCCTGCCTCTGGACCCCCTTGGACCTGACCTGGTGGACAAGTTTCCAGCACCATCGGCCAGAGGATCCCGCCTGGACACCCGGCCCATCCTGGACTCCCGTTCCAGCAGCCCCTCTGACTCAGACACCAGTGGCTTCAGCTCTGGATCAGATCATCTCTCAGATCTGATTGTATGTAGCTTGCCGGGGAGCGGAGCGAGGAGAGTGCGCGAGCCTGAAGTGGGGTGATGTGCACTGGAACCAGGCTGGAGATGGCATGATGGGAGGAGTGGAGCCTGTCACGGGCACATGCAGAGCAGGACCAAGGATGCCTCGTGTACCCACTGAGCAGTGCGCTCTGGGACTGAGCTGAGGACCATCTTTATATAGTTCAAAAGCTGCTGAGAATCAGTTAATTTTGAAAGTGAATATAGGCGTCCTGGCAGTATTCTGTTTCTTGACCTCTGCACGGCTGTTTTCGTTAGCCTATAAGCAGTACCACTTACATACCTTTACATACCATAGCTCAAAATTTGTGAGCGATGATTTTAAGGATCATGTATTAGCAGTCAGCAGTGTCATCCAGATTTGTCTGACTCTGGCTCCTATATTTTTCTCACTGACCCCTACCAACTCTGAGTCTGAGGCCATTGTGCGCCTGAAGTCCTGAGAGTGTGCTGGGGTGTCTCGTGTCTGATCTGCAGCTGGGGGTGAGGCGCGGCCCCCCTGGCTAAGTGCGCTTGGCACGTGGGTTAGAGTAGATGAGGAATGAGGGTAGTACGAGTAAACATGGGGAATGGCAGTGAGAAATGACCCTGAAGTGAAATACAGTTTTGGCTGCCTTCTCAGTCGCTTTCTCTCCTGCCAAATCCTCGGAACTGACTGTCCAGTGAACAGAAGGGCTGCTTTCCCTACCCGCCTCCCATCCACGTCTGGGACTGGCGGCAGTGGCTGTGCTTACAGCTTCCCGTTCATGGCGTGACCTTTTGGGGCCCACCTTGTCCCCTGTCAGCCTGTCCTGCAGCGTGAGCACCGGCCTTGGTCTGCCCACTGCCCCTTGGGCTTCTCTGTCTAGGCTGCTTCTAGAAGGCTAATGCGGGTCCCTTTGATGCTCTGGGTTGCAGTTCACTCCCCTCTCAAATGGGGTCAGGTTAAGTGTTTCTTCTTCCGTTCATGTTACTTTCTATGGGACACAGTCTTGGACGTTCACCTCATGACAAGCTGTACTGTTTGGGGATTTCGTTTAAAGAACTGTCTCAATACCCTGCCCCAAGGATTAACTGGGGAAGGGAATGACAGACCTCTTGCAGAAGAGGAAACAGGCAGTATTTGAACTTGTGGAAAACACTGAGTCATTGTTTTAGTTTATTTCTTGATAATGTATCATTTTTATCCATTTTATAGTTACACAAATGAATAGTTTTTACATTATGAGTTACATTCTTGACATAAGCTTATGATGAAACCTGTGTTCTCATCCACTTGGTAGAACACAGGACCCTCAGAAAGCATTCCACATCTAGGAATCCGACAAGGATAACACAAAATATAAAGAAGCACCTTGAAGTTTTAATTTATAATTCTGAAAACTTAGAAAATATCTAAATGTTAACAGCAGGGGGAAATAGGTCAGTGAAATGTAGCTTGTTCCTAAATAGAATATCACATATTAATTAAAAATGGTTATTTTAGAAAACACTAGGAATATGAAAAAAAATATCCAAGTGGGGAGAAAAGAACTTGTTTAAATTATAGTATAAGGACTGCTAATCTTAAAAATGCATAGGAAGAAAGTCTGAAAGAAAATATATCAAATTTAATCATTTCTATGGTGGAATTACTGTTTTTATAACAAAACTGCCCTTTAAAATTTTTTTCTTCCTTTTCTTCCCCCAGTCTAGCCTTCGCATTTCCCCTCCTCTGCCCTTCCTGTCTCTGACAGGGGGTGGTCCCAGAGACCATTTAAAGGTGGGCGTCGGGTCCCGGATGGACCAAGAGCAGGCTGCTCTGGCGGCAGTGACTCCCTCGCCAACCAGTGCGTCAAAGAGATGGCCAGGAGCTTCTGTGTGGCCATCCTGGGACCTCCTCGAAGCTCCCAAAGACCCCTTCAGCATAGAGAGGGAGGCTAGGCTACACCGACAGGCTGCAGGTGAGTGTGGCACTGGGCATGCATGAGGCCTGAGGCCTCGTGTTCTGAGAGCAGAAAGCAAGTGACCTTGCACAGACCAGTGAACTGTCTAGAAGAGGACTTGGTTGCTTGTGCATCTCTGGATCTGCAAAGAACGGTGCCTTCTGTAGAGAAAGCGTTCATGGGTACAGGCTCTGGAGCCAAACAGAGAGGACAGCGGCTGTGCAGTGGGGGGTTGGAACCAGCTCTTACTGGTGCTCTTCTGTGGAGGGGTCTCTGTGTTGCTGCTTTTCATCCCTTCCTGGGTGGGTATCTTCAGGAGAAGCCCTGGAAACTGCCCAGAAGTTTGTCTGTCCTCCTCCTGGTTCAAAGACACTAAGATACAACCCGTGCTAGAGCTTTCTTCCCCAAGGCTTCCTGATTGGTATGCATTGGTGGGCACTGAGGGATGCACTGGGCTAGGGCATCCGTTTGTCTGCCTCTAAGGTAAGAGATGCCCCCAGGTGTCCTGGTTTCTCAGGAACGCTTAGCTTCTGTCATTTAAATGACCTTAAATACTTGTGGGATCTGTTTTTCATCGTATATTTAAATGAATTATATAAGCCATCATTTACTGATGCTTTAGGGAGATGCTCACTGGCTGCCATTTTTAAGGCTCTAGAGTTGATGAATAAGTGATGTTCATTTTTGTCATCCCACTTGTTTCCATAAGCTTCAGTGTGTCTGTCTTTCTGCTTACAGAGCTTTGCTCTTACTCGCGTGGTTTTGGAAGCCCATCTTTGTCCTGTCCCTAGTGCTGCAGTCCTCCTGTGAAATGACATCGCCATGCTTTTGGATGAGACCATTATATCAGCTTCTGGTTGTGCTCACCAAATATTGCTGATGGTGCCCAGTTCCCTGCAGCAGCAGCGCACTGGGCCTGTGCCTCTTGGGGAATGGCCTCTGTGTCATTGTACTGAGTGAAAATGCTTTGTTTCATGGGCTCTCTTCCCCAGTGCTGGAGAAGAGTAAAATGGGCAAGAACTAGCCAGTCCCCACCAGGGCCAGTCTCTGATCTAGAAAGGCACAGACGAGTGGGGACAGGATTCAAGACTGATAGGATGCCGAACTGGTCACTAGGAGCAGAGAGGCCCCTAGAAGTTACCAGGGAAGTCCACAAAGAAGCTAGTTTCTCCTCTATACAGCAGGAGGGGTTCCTTAATGAGGTGTTTGAGGTGTACACATTGATATACACTCAGTACAAGCTTCAAAGTAGATGTGGACAGACTTGTGTTTGGCATAGATAGGAAGCCGAGGGGTTGGGGGGAAGCCGCGCTCCTGCAGTGTGGACACACAGGAAGGCTCAGAGTCTGTTCAGCTGCGTCGGGGAAGCTCTGGTGATGACAGAGCACGGTTCTGACTTGTGGAACAGTCGTGACATTCTTGTCTTGTTGGGTTACTAGTTGTGGTTTTTATTGTCAGTGTCCTAACTTCAGTGATTGGTGAGTTCAGAGAGAAGACAGGGAAACAGTAGGATGTTCCTATTTAAACATTTTGGGAGAAGGCCCATTTGGACCAGTAAGCCAAAATTGCTCAGTTTACTTCAAAATAACTAGAAATTTAAATTAGTGTTGTAAGCAGTGACTGAATAAAATTACTTAGTGGTTAGCATATCAGTCATATGTTTGAAAATAGCTTGAGTTGTAGTAATCTTTATGCTACACACCTACTGTGCTACCCTCAGGTTTAGTAGAGACAGAGCTAGTGAATTGGGCTGACTTGGCCAGTGGGGTGTGAGGTGTGAGGCCTCTTGCCTTTCAGAGCAGCCAGGCTCAGGCTGTGGCCCTCTGGTTCTCCCTGGACGAATTCACCCCAAGAAGGACAGTGACCCTGTGATTCTTTGACCCTGTCTCTCTTCTGCCAAAGCTGTGAATGAAGCAACCTGTACCTGGAGTGGCCAGCTTCCTCCCCGGAACTACAAGAACCCCATCTACTCCTGCAAGGTGTTCCTAGGAGGTGTTCCTTGGGATATTACGGAAGGTGAGCTGCCTACCAGACCGGCGTCACTGATTGGAGGTGGCACATGACTTTCAGGAGCATGAATTTGGACTTGAGGCCAGTGGCTGGACCTCTCCCTGAGCCCGGGGTGTTCCAGGAGCAACTGAGAGACAGGGCTTCCTAGACACCCTTTGTGCCCTTGTGTCTGGGGCTGACACTCGTCACCTGAGACCAAAGGCCGATTCTAACTGTTGTCAAGGGGGGGTGAGTCTGGGCCAGCACGGGTCACCCTGCGCTTCTTGGGTCCTGGGGAATGGTGCCCCCATTTCTACTGTCCTTCCCCATCTCTTTGCAGCTGGATTGGTTAACACCTTCCGTGTTTTTGGCTCTTTGAGTGTGGAGTGGCCTGGTAAGGATGGCAAGCACCCCCGGTGTCCTCCCAAAGGTAATATGCCTAAAGGTAATACAGACATGGTAGGAGCTTTATTTCCTCCCTCATATGCACGTGCACATGTCACAGCTGCATGCTGGTAACAGGGTTTGTGCACTCTAGAACACAGAACTGAGCTGTCAGCACTTCCCTTCAACTAGCACATCCTTGTGTTTCCTCTGGGCTCATGTCCCTTCTGTCCAAACTTCCTTGTGAAACTTCCTTGCACAACTTCTCTCCAAACGTGAACCCCAGCAGCTTTTCCTCTCAGAATACGGTATTTGAAAATCTTTCCTTGCCTGACCTAATTCTAAGATCCCTTTGGAGACGGCAGGAATAAAGATCAGGCATCTGATTCCTCACTGGTCTGAAATGAGATCCCTTCCCTGTAGAAAGGAGCAGGTGCTATTTTCACTCTGCCCCATCTTCACTGAAAATGTTCTGATGAACTGGACCAACAGTCTCACTAGGCTTTTAAAGCAATACCTCTGTCCCCTGGCAGACTGGTCACAGATGGGCATCTCCCTGCCCATCAGAATGCCTGGCTCTGCCAACCTGAATGTGCCCTGAGTTCTGGGCTGGAGAGCTGTGTGGTTATGAAGGTGTCCCTGTCCTCTCTTGCCAGGGTGGGGCTGCTGCCTTCTTCCCTGGGCCTGGGCCTCCATCCACAGGACTTCTCAGGAATAGGAAAAAATGTCTTACAAATGAGGCCACCTCTGTTGGAGGAGACTCCCTGCTTCAAAACCAAGGCTGAGTAGTAGCCACTTGAGGGACGTTAATGCAGTTTCCCTTTCATTGGAAACAGGGTATGTGTACCTGGTCTTTGAAATGGAGAAGTCTGTGCGGGCGCTGCTGCAGGCTTGTTCCCGTGACCCACTGAGCCCAGACGGCCTGAGCGAATACTACTTCAAGATGTCCAGCCGCAGGATGCGCTGTAAGGAGGTGAGTCAGCACAGCGCCCTTCTGGGTCAGGGTGATGGGCGTTTGTGGCAGTGCATTTCCTGGGGATGGGTCCCCGGGATGGGTGGTCACACAGGCTGCAGGTAAGGATTCCCCCAAGGTGAGGAGGCCGCTTTTCTTGCTCTGCAGTCTTACAACAAAATTCTCCCAAATGTATTTTTAAAAAATGTTTGGAGGCTTAATGTTATATCTGTGCTCCTGCCCATGGAGATCAAAGCCCTTATTCTAGCCAGCACTTCTGTCCCAAACCTGTTGTCTTAGGCATGAAGTTGAAACAGCAGCTTTGTCTGCTTGGACTTAACTGATGACTACAGTTGCTTCCGGGTCCTGCCCTCGGGCTGCGCTCTGACCTCCCAGTCCCTCCTCGCACGCCCATCTGTGGAGCACTTCTTCCTCCAGTCAGGGCTCACTACGTGTGATTAGCTCTTGTGTGCCTTTTCTGTGTCCTTAGCATCACAGGTTTCTAGAATAGATTGTCCTCTGGGAACCTCACTGCATGTGGGCCCTGTATCAGATCTGCCGAATCAGTTTGGGTGAGTTTAAGAATCTCCAATTTAAATAGCCTCCCCAAGTAGTTTTCATAGATGGTGTTTGAGAACTCTTGTCAAAGGAAGTTTTAAGCTCGGGAATCAATGTTGTGTTTAAAAATCTGGTTCCAGATCATATCACTTTTGTGATATTGGACTAGACATATAACGTATCTGAAACTTCATTTCCTCATCTGTAAAATGAGGAATTGAAATGCCTTTTTTAGTAAAAAGATGAGCAGTTGCCAGGGCCTATGGGGAAGGAGGGTGAGCAGGCAGAGCCCACCAGAGTTTCAGGGCAGGGAAACTACTCTGACTGATACTCCAAATGTGGACACATGCCACACATTTGCCAAACCCACACAGAGTGTGCAGCAGGCCCAGGGTGAGCCCGGACGTGAACGCTGCGCGTTGGGTGATAATGCCATGTCACTGTGACCAGTGTACCCCTCAGGGGTGCTGGTAGTGGGGAGGTGGTACATATGTCGGGGGCAGTGCACAAATGGGAACTCCGTGCTTTCAGCTCAATTTTGCTATGAACCTAAACCTGCTCTAGAAAGAAAAGTCTATTAAAATCTGTAGGGTAATGGGAAAATGCCCATTTTATTGAGATGGTCCCATCAGATTTAAAGTAAACAATCCATGTAATGAGCAGGCTCTTTGTTTCATAGATGTTTCCTGGTGTGTGTCCACGGTTGTCTTAGTGACAGGTTAAAGTCCTCTGGCTGCCTGCAGGGACCCACAACACTACCGTGTTCTCCCTGCGTGGAGCTCATGCAGCCGTCCACCTTCCTGTGTCCAGGACTCAGTGACCATGCTCCTTCCCGTCTGTGCTCTCCCAGTGAGAGGCTGCCGCAGCCGCGACAGATGCCACCCTGCCCGGGGCCCCTGCCGGCAGCTTGCTGCCCCCTCCTCATCACCTTGCAGTGGTTCAGTCTTTCTCTGATGCCCTGGCTGCAGCTGCCTGGGTTCACCTGCGTCTCTGATGGCTTCTCCGTGTTCCTCTCGCAACCACTGTAGTCAGCGTCTGACCCCCTCCTTTCTTCTTTCCCACAGCAGATGAATTACCCACTTAGCTTTACACTCATCTTTCTAGTTTCATCTCCTACTTGAGCCCAGCCTTCCTGTGGGGACTTTGGGGTGTCTTGTAATCCTAAACTCTTGTGTTTAGTGTAAGAAAAAGCTTGGTGGTCTCCGGCCCCTATAGACAGACTGTGATACTTCCCCATGGGAGTGGGAAGAGCGGGACGGGCTTGCTCGTCTTCCAGCTGGTGCCCTGCCAGGTGCTGTCCCCAGGCCACGCCACCGTCCAGGCCTGTAATCCCTCAGTCCTGATGTTTCCTCAGGTCCCACCTGGCCCAGGCACTCTGAATTCTGCAGACTCTGCGCTGAAGAATACTGGTCTTGGCCTGCCCTGTGCCCACTGCCACCGGCCTTCTCCAGGCTACCACTGCCCTTTGAACTAGTTTTGCTGGAAATCTCTTCCTACTCTGAGACTTTTTTAAAAGCTCTTTACCTATATTCATCTTCTGAAAACACTCATCTTCTGCCAGTTCCTTCACTGTAGAGTCTCCTGCCTGCAATGCCAGGTCTCGTTGTAGGCTCAGGATTCATAGGCAGAGGCCATGTTCAGCTCCTGCCCTGGTGTCTGTCGTGCTGCTCACACAGCCTCAGTGCTGTGTGGGTGCACTCATGCCACCTCCCCATGTGTTCCCACGGCTCCTGGCACAGCCTTGGATGTGCACCTTGGGCCAGTAGCATCTCATCCAAATACCTCAAGCATCCCCATCCTCTGTCCAGTCCATGCCCTTTAATTTCTCTGTAAATCCTTCCTGTCCAAGGACTCCAGACCATGAGCTCCGTTTATCATTGTCCGTGGCTTGTCGGGACCACATGGATGAAGGTCGTGCAGAGTGCCAGGTTCCTGGACGTGACAGCTGGGTGCTGTTTTCTTGTTCTCCAGGATGAGTGACTGCTGCTCTACCACTTACTTTCACCAGTTAGGACACATGGACCCAGAAAAATTCAATCCCAGTTGCGTGGGGGTGTGCCTGGGACTGGGCAATCATACCTTCTCACCCACCGGATGGGCCGCAGCAGCCCCCCTGTTAGCGTCTGTAAAGCGTGTTATCTCGCCACCTGAGTCTCTCTCTGGCTGCCTGCCGGGGCTGATACACCTTTGGGTGGTTTTCAGGTGCAAGTAATCCCCTGGGTCTTAGCTGACAGCAACTTTGTCCGGACCCCGTCTCAGAGACTCGACCCCAGCAGGACTGTGTTTGTGGGTGCCTTGCACGGGATGCTCAATGCTGAGGCCCTCGCTGCCATCTTGAACGACCTCTTTGGTGGAGTGGTGTACGCTGGGATTGACACGGATAAGCACAAGTATCCTATTGGTGAGTGTCCCACTTCTGCATGGCAAGCTGGTAGCCCCGGGGTCTTGGTAGACCGAGATTGTGATGTTCCCTGTGGGAGCAGAGAGGGAGGCCTGACTCAGGTCTGCAGATGACGTGTCCCAGCAGCACGGTGTCTTTCTCTACATAAGCCAGCAGCACTGACCCTGACCCTGTTGTACCCACCCCCTCTTCCCACCTCCCATGAAGGGGAAAATTGGATAGGAGACCATGGGACGTGATAGGAGCTGAAATGAGACAGGAACTTTGGTTGGAAGCTCAGAATTCACAGCCAAACCCGTGCGAGGTAGACAACAGGTAATATTTCATTGAAAGGCCAGGACTTCCCTGAAATTGCCCGATTTCCTTTATTAAGAATTCTTGGAAAGTGGCCTTGTCTAGGGTTAGAGACCAGGTCAGGCTGCAGAAGGACTCTGTGTGACTCAGGCAAGAGTGCGTCATGGCCCCTGCTGTCCTAGCTGAGGCTCTGTGGGCCTCCCTGCTGCATGTTTGGCCAGCCCTTCTGAGAAAGGCGGTCAGTTCCCCAGATGTGGCAGAACAATCTCAGGGCTGGGGTCTGGACGTGGAGCAGCAGAACCTGAATTTTCTGATGAAGACATGGCTAACCCACCTCCCCAGATGCCTGCCTGCCCACCCACACTGCCTCTGGTCAGACAGGGCACTGGGTGCCCGTCATGGCACACAGCAGACAGAACAGGGTCTTCGGAAGTCTGCAGGGCCGCACGGTGCTTAGCAGGACCCCCCCGCAAGGTCCCCAGAGTACCTCCCGGCTGGAGGGCTTGCCGCAGGGTCTGCCTTCAGGGGCGCTTTGTTCGGGCTTGACTCTGCTCTGACCCTCACCTGAGCACCGGCCTCCTGCAGGCGTCTCCTCCCCTCCCTTTCCAGGCAGCAAATCCTTCTGCTCCTGAAAGGCTCGTGCCATCTGCTCTGTGACCAGGCTGTCTGATAGCCGCAGCTGGGCACGGCTGGGTGCTTGAAGCACAGCTGGTGCCCCGTACTGAAATGATGTTCTGGGTGTATTGGGTGAACTAAAATATTACTAAAACTCGACTACTGCCCTTTCACCTAGATGTGGCTGCTAGAAAACTTAAAGCTACGTAAGTAGCTCACATCACACTTCTGTCAGGCAGCACTGGGCTAGAAAGAGGGTCTCCTGAGTGTTGAGAGTGGCATCCGGACGGATCTGGTAAAAGATACATTTGTTCCTTTGTCCCTAGGGTCTGGTCGCGTGACTTTTAATAACCAGCGTAGTTACCTGAAAGCGGTCACTGCTGCTTTTGTGGAGATCAAAACCACCAAGTTCACCAAGAAGGTGAGTGGGCAGGTTTATACCCCCCAGGTGGTCTGGGGGCCCAGGGCAGGTGGGAGACAGGCTGCACCAGTGCTGGGTGTGCTCGCCGCCAGCCTCTTCTTTCTCCCATTCTGCTTTGCGCAGGTTCAGATTGACCCTTACCTAGAAGATTCTCTGTGTCATATCTGCAGTTCTCAGCCTGGTCCTTTCTTCTGTCGAGATCAGGTGAGTCCCCTGGGCACTTGGGGTGTCTAAGAAGGTCCTGCCTCAGTTAAGAATGGCCGCCACGCCTGTCTTGCAGAGTATCGGTGCTCTCAGGCGCCTGGCGGCTGTGTGGGAGCACAGAGGAGGCAGGGCAGACCAGGGGCACACTGACAGCCTGACCCAGAACTCTCGGGAAGGCTTGTCAATTGAGTCTTGACCTGGCCTTCTCCTTTCCTGGCACGTTGGTTTGGCACGCGGGGCAGCCCCATTGCTGATACTCTGCATTTTGAGGCTGGTAGGAACCTGGGTGGGTGTGGCCAGCAGTGGCTGTGAACCAGGCACTGTTCTAACTGGGGCCTTCTAGATTGATTTCTCCTGTTCGAAGACACCTTTACTTCCGAACCTCTGGACTGTTCCAATATTTGTACCCACAGTTGTCAGAAACAGGCAGAAAATAGCACAGCAGCTTTGGTCATGTGATTGCAGATCTGGGTATGGGGGCTTCTGCTGCTCAGAAGCTAATGTCTGTGTACGTCACCTGAGGATCTTGCTTAAATGCGATTCCCATTCAGTGGGCGGAGGGGCCCTGCCACCTGTGTTTCTGACATGTGTCCAGCGGCGCCAGAGTTGCAGGTGCTGTACGTTGACAGGCGTTGGGGGCAGCTCGGGGCCTGTTCAGACCCCAGCAGTCCGTCCATGCTCGGTCTTCGCAGTGGTGCTGTGGCTCCGTGGTGGAGTCTCTGGGAGATGGTTGTTAAATGGTGCCTTTGAAGTGGGGTGCAGAGCAAGCTTGGGTGACTGGTGAGCCTCTGCTGTCAGGCTTCTGTAGGCCCGTGTCTTTCACAGATGATCCCCTTATCGGATAATTGCTCAGGTTAGTGCCTTGCCTGTGGTTACACAGCCAGCAAGACATGGGACCAAGACTGAGGTACAGGCCCCGTCACGTCTCCTCAGTGTGAAGAGGAAGGCCTGGTGCCTCGCTTTGGGATCTGAGCCACTGTTTAACCGTCTCCTGTCTTAGCAGCCATGTGACACAACCACTCTGGTGGGCGAGAAGGGCTGGGGACCAGAAAAGCAGCTGTAGCTGGCAGGGGAAGCTGACGTAGTCTCTGAGTGCTGGGCAGCATCTCTGACTAAGGCAGGGCGCTTAGTGTACTTGCCGTGGTGGCGCAGGCTCCGGTAGGGGTGAGAGCATTCCCTGAGCCCATGTCCTGACCCCGCAGAGGCCGTCTGGAAGCCCCAGCCCCTCTCAGCTCGGGCTGCAGCTCCGGCTCGTGCTGACACGCATGCCTCCTCCTCCCCCCGCCCAGGTGTGCTTCAAATACTTCTGCCGGAGCTGCTGGCACTGGAGACACAGCATGGAGGGTCTGCGTCACCACAGCCCCCTGATGCGGAACCAGAAGACCCGGGATGCCAACTAGAGGAGCTGGCCTTGCCCGCCGGCCTGTTTCGCCCAAGGCAGGGAGGTCAGGCAGTAGCCTGCACCTCCTGCCACTGGCGACCAGGAAGCTGGCTTCCCGAGGACAAGGGAAAAATCGTAGTCACCTTTGCACTTGCTGAATCTGTCTTTGTTTCTGCACTAATTAATGCACAATGAGTTTTGTCGGGTTTTGTTTTCAGGGGCTGTGCCAAGGCAAAGACCTTCTGGCCCAGCTCCAAGTGACTCTGTAGTTTTCCCAGATTTTAGTTCCTCATTTTGCCAATGAAAAGCAAAAAAGAACTACGTGTCCAGAAGGTATTGACAGGACGCCTACAACTAGGTTTATTTATTAAAGCGCTTTTCTACATTCCTCGCAATACTGGTGGTGATGATGCGCAGGCCCGGTTGGTCTCACCCTTGCAGTTGCCATACAGTGCCTTTCCATTTATTTACCCCCACCTGAACGGCATAAACTGAGTGTTCAGCTGGTGTTTTTTACTGTACACAACAAGGAGACTTTGCTCTTCATTTAAACCAAAATCATATTTCATATTTTACGCTCGAGGGTTTTTACCGGTTCCTTTTTACACTCCTTAAAACAGTTTTTAAGTCGTTTGGAACAAGAGATTTTTTTTTTTTTTCTTTCCTGGCAGCTTTTAACATTATAGCAAATTTGTGTCTGGGGGACTGCTGGTCACTGTTTCTTACAGTTGCAAATCAAAAGTATTTGCAACCAAGAAAAAAAATTTTTTTGGATTTGAAACTGGACCGGATAAACGTGTTTGAGCGGCTGCTCTATATAGTTTTAATGGTTTATTGCACCTTCTTAAGTTGCACTTATGTGGGGGGGAGGGTTGATAGAAGTTTTTAATCACAAAGTCAAAGGACTTTTTCTTTTTGTAACTGAGCTACAAAGGGCTGCTTTTTGGTGGGGCAGGTGAAGGCTCACAGGGGCCCTTTCTCTTAGAGGGACAAGTACCCTTCCCTTCCCTTCTCTCATTTCAGAAATGTATGAAGCAACAGTTGCAGTCACTGAAATGCTACTGGAATTTGAAAACTTGACTTTTTTTTCGTTTTTTAAAAAACAAAACTACTTGCCCCTCTTTGGGAAGCCGTGTGCCAAAGAACCAGTGTCATGACCCCCCCCCACCCCCGCTGAGCTGACGCGGCATCGTCGCATATCCCAGCTACTCTGTGGGTTTGTGAAGCTGTGTGAAGTCTCTACCTCATTGTCGTGTATGCGGGCAAGACTGCGCTCTCCTACAGGTGTGCGGGGTAAGCTGTGGTGTAGTTTTTTTGGCACATAATAAACACGTTGCAGCAGAGTTCCGGTTTTGTTTCTGTCTCTGAAGTGTGGGAACAAGAGGGAGGTGGGGTAGTAAGATTCCAGAGGGAAAGTTCGTGTTCCTTGGATTTTCTGTGGTGGGATTCCAGCCCAGGCTGTGGAGGGGAGCCCCCGCCCCCCACAGGGGGGACCTGTAAGAACGTCCACGGCTAGTGCTCTTGGAGATGCCTCCCAGGGAGCGGACACCGCTGGTCCCAGTGCGCGATGCTCTCGCTTTGGGTCCCTGCGCCCCTCCTACAGCCCCAGCCTGCGGAAGCTGGGCTCCCGGCCGCTCCGGTGCCCTGACCTCTGGGGCCTCAGGCCTGTTCCTCCCGGGGAGGTGTCCGGTCCTCCTGGGCTCGCCCACGCCATCAGGCTTCTGTAGGCCCGTGTCTTTCACAGATGATCCCCTTATCGGATAATTGCTCAGGTTAGTGCCTTGCCTGTGGTTACACAGCCAGCAAGACATGGGACCAAGACTGAGGTACAGGCCCCGTCACCTCTCCTCAGTGTGAAGAGGAAGGCCTGGTGCCTCGCTTTGGGATCTGAGCCACTGTTTAACCGTCTCCTGTCTTAGCAGCCATGTGACACAACCACTCTGGTGGGCGAGAAGGGCTGGGGACCAGAAAAGCAGCTGTAGCTGGCAGGGGAAGCTGACGTAGTCTCTGAGTGCTGGGCAGCATCTCTGACTAAGGCAGGGCGCTTAGTGTACTTGCCGTGGTGGCGCAGGCTCCGGTAGGGGTGAGAGCATTCCCTGAGCCCATGTCCTGACCCCGCAGAGGCCGTCTGGAAGCCCCAGCCCCTCTCAGCTCGGGCTGCAGCTCCGGCTCGTGCTGACACGCATGCCTCCTCCTCCCCCCGCCCAGGTGTGCTTCAAATACTTCTGCCGGAGCTGCTGGCACTGGAGACACAGCATGGAGGGTCTGCGTCACCACAGCCCCCTGATGCGGAACCAGAAGACCCGGGATGCCAACTAGAGGAGCTGGCCTTGCCCGCCGGCCTGTTTCGCCCAAGGCAGGGAGGTCAGGCAGTAGCCTGCACCTCCTGCCACTGGCGACCAGGAAGCTGGCTTCCCGAGGACAAGGGAAAAATCGTAGTCACCTTTGCACTTGCTGAATCTGTCTTTGTTTCTGCACTAATTAATGCACAATGAGTTTTGTCGGGTTTTGTTTTCAGGGGCTGGGCCAAGGCAAAGACCTTCTGGCCCAGCTCCAAGTGACTCTGTAGTTTTCCCAGATTTTAGTTCCTCATTTTGCCAATGAAAAGCAAAAAAGAACTACGTGTCCAGAAGGTATTGACAGGACGCCTACAACTAGGTTTATTTATTAAAGCGCTTTTCTACATTCCTCGCAATACTGGTGGTGATGATGCGCAGGCCCGGTTGGTCTCACCCTTGCAGTTGCCATACAGTGCCTTTCCATTTATTTACCCCCACCTGAACGGCATAAACTGAGTGTTCAGCTGGTGTTTTTTACTGTACACAACAAGGAGACTTTGCTCTTCATTTAAACCAAAATCATATTTCATATTTTACGCTCGAGGGTTTTTACCGGTTCCTTTTTACACTCCTTAAAACAGTTTTTAAGTCGTTTGGAACAAGAGATTTTTTTTTTTTTTCTTTCCTGGCAGCTTTTAACATTATAGCAAATTTGTGTCTGGGGGACTGCTGGTCACTGTTTCTTACAGTTGCAAATCAAAAGTATTTGCAACCAAGAAAAAAAATTTTTTTGGATTTGAAACTGGACCGGATAAACGTGTTTGAGCGGCTGCTCTATATAGTTTTAATGGTTTATTGCACCTTCTTAAGTTGCACTTATGTGGGGGGGGAGGGTTGATAGAAGTTTTTAATCACAAAGTCAAAGGACTTTTTCTTTTTGTAACTGAGCTACAAAGGGCTGCTTTTTGGTGGGGCAGGTGAAGGCTCACAGGGGCCCTTTCTCTTAGAGGGACAAGTACCCTTCCCTTCCCTTCTCTCATTTCAGAAATGTATGAAGCAACAGTTGCAGTCACTGAAATGCTACTGGAATTTGAAAACTTGACTTTTTTTTCGTTTTTTAAAAAACAAAACTACTTGCCCCTCTTTGGGAAGCCGTGTGCCAAAGAACCAGTGTCATGACCCCCCCCCACCCCCGCTGAGCTGACGCGGCATCGTCGCATATCCCAGCTACTCTGTGGGTTTGTGAAGCTGTGTGAAGTCTCTACCTCATTGTCGTGTATGCGGGCAAGACTGCGCTCTCCTACAGGTGTGCGGGGTAAGCTGTGGTGTAGTTTTTTTGGCACATAATAAACACGTTGCAGCAGAGTTCCGGTTTTGTTTCTGTCTCTGAAGTGTGGGAACAAGAGGGAGGTGGGGTAGTAAGATTCCAGAGGGAAAGTTCGTGTTCCTTGGATTTTCTGTGGTGGGATTCCAGCCCAGGCTGTGGAGGGGAGCCCCCGCCCCCCACAGGGGGGACCTGTAAGAACGTCCACGGCTAGTGCTCTTGGAGATGCCTCCCAGGGAGCGGACACCGCTGGTCCGAGTGCGCGATGCTCTCGCTTTGGGTCCCTGCGCCCCTCCTACAGCCCCAGCCTGCGGAAGCTGGGCTCCCGGCCGCTCCGGTGCCCTGACCTCTGGGGCCTCAGGCCTGTTCCTCCCGGGGAGGTGTCCGGTCCTCCTGGGCTCGCCCACGCCAACGCAGCTCCCGTCCGAGAGGGGGTGCTTCACGTCTCACCGCTCCTTAGAGGGCCCCACCATTCGGGTCTTTCTCCCAGGTGCCCTGCTGATTTTTGTCCAGGTAGTTTGGGCCCAGCTGCTGGTCTGATTCTTTGAAAGAGTCCGTTTTAGTCTGAGGTGGAGGGAACCCTGCGTACGAAGCACCCCTTCCTCCTGTGAGACGTGCCAGGGCCCTGCTGTCGGCGGTGTGGGATCCCTGGGCCCGGAGGGACCCGCCCCCTCCTCCACCTGCGGCCTGGCTGGCCGGAGCTTTATTCGAGGTCCGCTGCTTGGCTGAGCTCCTGCCCCTCTCGGGAGAGACCCCGGCCCTCCCTTTGTGTCTCACGCTAGTCCGTGGAGAGGCGCCTCTTTTTCCCCTTGCCCCTCTCGTCCAGGTGCTGCTTTCAGGTGGGGGCCCCCTGCCTTTTAGCTCCCCAGGCCTCGTTAGTTCAGCGTCTGACCGGCCTCAGCGCCAGGACCGGGTGGGGGGTGCCGAGTGAGGGGGACCAGAAGTGGTCAGCCGGACAGCCCAGCCTTGCCCCGGGTCCGGCGGGGGCCTGGGACGCACTTCGGGGCAGGGGCGGGGTACTCCCTAGGTGGCTTCACAGGCCGGATTTTGAGGAGGGCTTGGCAGGAGCTGCCTGAGGAGGTGGTTGGAGGGGGTTCCTCCGTTGTTGGGGGCGCTGCGGGTAGGCGGCCCCCGCCTGGATGTTTGAGTGCTTGCATTGTGCTGGGCGCTGTTCCAAGACACGCGGCTGCCGAGCAGGACGGCCCTCGCGCCGTGGAACTCCGCCCGAAGAAAGCGGAGACGCCGGCAAGCGCAAGGAATCTAGAGCAGCTTTGAAAGGCCCGTGATGCTGAAAAAGAGGATGAAAGGGGGGTGGTAACACTTTATGAATTGGAGGAAAAGCCCCTCCGTAAGGTGACATTTGAGCAGCGCCTCGGAAGACACAAGCGTCTTCCAGGCTGGACTGCCTCGGCTCTGACCCGCGCACTGGGCCGGGGTCCCGCGCAGAGCCCCACCCCCCACCGAATCGCCTCCCCTCGGCACGTGCGGAAGACGCGCCCCCTCCTGGTAGGGAGCCCGTGGAACACAATCCGGTCCCAGAACCGGGGACTGGAGAGCCGCCCGAGGCAGGCGGGGCGGGCAGACCCTCGGCCTCGCCCCGGCCGGAGCCGACAGCCTGCGCTCCCGCTCCGCGCCGCCGGGGGCCGCTGTGGCGCTGCTGCTCGGCTCCGCGGCCTGTGGCTGGGCGGAAGCGGCGTTCTGGCCGGCGCCTTATAGGCCTTGCTTGTGTTTCCTGTTTCCTCTTTCACCGGGGACCCGCCGACATGGTAGGTCCTGTTGCCCGCGGCTTTCTTCTGCACCATCGCCCTCCATCCGCTGTTTTCTGCGGCCCCGGGCCCACAGGGCGGGCGGCTGGCGCCCGCGTCGCCCCTACCGGGCCACTCCCCCGGGCACAGCCCCAGCGCGGGCCCCGCTGCCTCCGGCCGGGCCGCCTGGCTCGCGGGTGAGCCTGTCTTTGCCCCCGCAGGGCCGCGTCCGCACCAAAACCGTGAAGAAGGCGGCCCGGGTCATCATTGAGAAGTACTACACGCGCCTGGGCAACGACTTCCACACCAACAAGCGCGTGTGCGAGGAGATCGCCATCATCCCCAGCAAGAAGCTCCGCAACAAGATCGCGGGGTGAGCGGGCGGGCGCCAGCGGCGCGCACGGACGAGGGTGGCCGCGGGCGGCCCTGGGGGAGACGCCTGGGTAAAGGCCACCGAGGCTGAGCGCTGCACAGGGGACGGCACCCTGGAGGGAACCGGGGCGGGGGCCGCGACAGCTGCAGGGTCATCCGCGGGGCGGCACGCTGGGCTCTCGGCGCCCGTGCTCCGTGCAGCGGCAGCTGATGCGCGTTTGCCCGCAGCTATGTCACACATCTGATGAAGCGGATCCAGAGGGGCCCCGTGAGGGGCATCTCCATCAAGCTGCAGGAGGAGGAGAGAGAGCGGAGAGACAACTACGTGCCCGAGGTGAGCCTGGGCCTTGGCCTGCGCGTCTTGCTCATCCTGAGAGGTTCCTGGTTTCCGAAGGGACCCCAGTTGAGCTGGAGAGGGTCTGTTATGTTACCCGTACAGCCCCCAACCAGCTAGAGGTGTCCGTCCTCTCGCTGCCCTGCTGGGATGAGTTAAGTCCATTCTGTTCCACGCGCCCTTAATGGTGGTTGGTTTTCGCCCTGCGTGGTATTCCTGAAGTATAAACCTAGTTTTCAGGTTCTCTGAATACCAATTAGATGATGAGGACCCGCAGAAGTG